TTGGTTCATGCACTCGACGAGTTGGACCCCCTAACAGCATATATTCGTGTTTTTTGGCCTATTTTGGATAAGAATCATTACCACAAAGTATTTTTGCTAATAAAATTTGTTTTTGGTACTATGGTAATGTTTATTCTCATCCAAATAAAGTTATAATCAAAGTTTCAAGTTTTATACATGTTTATATGATGCTTGAAAATTGTTGATTATGAATGTTCATGTTTATAAGTTTGTTTAAATTAATAGAAAAAAATTATGTGATAGTTGTTTTCAATCCAAATTAATCTAGAAGTTGATAATAATATGTATTTTTTGTAACTTTCCTCAAGTTACTTGAAAAGTCACATTTATGAATTTTAAAAATTCATAAAATTGTCATAGGTTACAAAATGAAGAGTCTTTTGTCATAAATAGTTTTATGAACTCCATAACTTGTCCTCAAGTTATGGATGTTCAAGAGTCTCCTGATTAAAGTTTTTTAAGACCATAATTAAACTCATAAGTTATGAAAATCCAAGGGTTTTGAAAAGTTTCAAAACTTGCCCTCAAATTTTGGAATTTGTAAAGTCACCCCATGTACACTTTAATTCCAAACCCTAGAATTTTAAAAGTTAAAATTCAAACTTTATGGACTTCATTAAATTAATAAAAGTGTTTAATTAAAAGAGTTAATAGTTCCATAATGGCATGGTTTAAGTTTAATTAAATTAAGAGTATAGTTTAATTGTTAGATTAAACCACCGAGTATTTTAAATGTGTATAATACACCCTTATACTATTATAATATTAAAAGTTAGATTGGTTGTTCATGGACAATTGGAAGTATAAGTGTTAATTTTGGAAGGACCATATTGACATATTCTGAAAAGAGGTAACTCTTGTTCAGAAGTGATAATCAAAATGGGAATCTGGGAAGGTTTCCATAGGTGGAAGTTGTTCTTTCAAATCTATGTAAGATTAGAAAGATTAATGCAGGAAGGATGTTCAAAGTAATGTACTTTAAATTTAAGACTTCGTTTCCATGGAATTGATCTCCATTGGAATACTCTGTAATGTCTATTGACAAGTCTTTGTTACTTTGTGCATAGTCATTACGAGAGGATCAATGCATATAAGTTTAGAATCTAACAGCTTTCGTTAAATGGTAGGAATTTGGAATTCTTACATTTGCGATAAAGATTTGGTATTGTGAAATGAGCATCATTGGAATCATGTTCAATTGTTCTATTTCAAAAAGTAAAGATCATAGATAAACATAATGTGAATACTTGGTGTATGGCACGACTAGTATTTAGAAAACATAGTTTACATGCTTGGAGCATGGGACAACTATTGTTTTAATTCAAGTATTAAGTTGATTATTTGAAACATTATACAATGAATAATGAGTAATCAATATGGCTTTTAAATAAAAGGTGTTCTATTTACTCTCAAAGGTGCATGGGACCATAGAGGATTAGTATTATTCTTATGTTTCACTTTGCATGTTTTGACTTCCAGAATAACTAGGTTATTCTTTCCGAATTACTAAGTTATTCAAACCATCCACAGTCGATAATACGTTGGAAGTAGGTATTAAGGCGAGATTGTCATGAATCGGGTTTGTAGATGTCCAAGGTAGTAGACAAAGTAATAGTTACTACAACATTCATGAGTACTCCTGGAATAGGGATTTGAGTATTGGATTCAACCCACGCTCATTTGAATCACTTCTTGGATTTTATCATGAGTGATCATGAGACGATAATATCTTATATTCGTCAAACCTAGAGATATGACTTGTTTCCTATAAGTTGGTTATACATTTATTGCATGTAAACGCATTTGGTAACTCGATGTTATAAAACTTGCATTTGTGTATGATTCAACAAGTAGTGGAACAAGCATATAAGTCAAATTTTATCCATTCCTTTCACCCTTGGAGGGATAAAAAACGATATCTGTGGGCCCCTCGTTTATTTGGTGATGACAAACGTAAGTGCTCGGCCGGGCCTGGACTGATTTGATTTATTCAATTAGTCAATCGTCATAAATCGGAAATCGGGAAACAACAAATGGACAGAGAGAATGATTAAAATCCATGTCTTAGTCCATATTATATCTAGAATGGAGGAATATATGGTTGCTTATCTAATGGACATGTCATTGATTTGTTCAGAGTTTGACAGCGGCTTTAAGAGCTATGATTGCTAGTCGGGTTTTAGAGTCATACGCAATAATAGTTTTAGAATTATCCAAGTGGGAGACTGTTCGATTAGGTGTTTAAGCCCATAACTATTATTGGTATGTATTCGACCTGAGAGTAGTATGGTCCATTTGGGTTGCATATCATCAGGTCAATTTGTTAGGATGGACTTTTGAGAGAAGAGGTTATCTATGATTTATTAATATATTATAAGTTCTAATATATTAATATGAAATCATATGTTTTTATTAGTATTGATCAAGAATTAATTTGGAATTAATTTAGTGATCAAAAGAGACTAATTAAAATTATGGGACTAATTATGGTAATTAGTTATATTTATATGTGTTGGGCTTATGATCCATGTTGGACCAAGTTTATGTATGGATACATAAAGAGTTGGGCCACATCAACCATGGATCATAAAATCCATGGATAAGGGTTTGGGTTATACCTATGACTCTTAGAATTCAACACATAAATACATATGTTATGACCTAAAAACCGCCAGTTTTAATGTGTATGCATGTTCTTGGAGTTCAAGAAGGTTTTAGAGTGTATAGAGACTCTCTCTCAGTTTTAATGTGTATGCATGTTGTGACTTCATTTGAGGCTTCCACGCTATTGGGGCTAAGTTCTTAAGGCCAAATATATCAAGACCTCCAGCCACACATAAGGTATGCTACATTATCTAGTATTTTATGTAGTTTGTATGACAAATGCATGCTAACTATAGGATCAATACATTGGAAACAATTTGCATGTATAATTAGTGAAAACATAGATCCAACGTATTTAGGGTTGTATGTGCACCATAGTATGTTGTATTGTACCAAAACCCAACAAATGTGTTTCTGGATTCTCGTTCGGCTTCTGCACAAAAGAATGCTCAAACTGTTACTGCTTCGGTTGACAATCTAACCAGTTCCCTTCAAGCAGAGAAGAAGCACTTCAAAGAAGCCCGCCAAAGTCTCAAATCTGAAACACAAAGCTTCAATCAGGAATCCATGCTCGGCTTGATAAACTCCAAAACAAGGGAGATAAGTAAATCAGGGTCAAATATCACAACCTCCAACAAGCAAATAAATTCCAATTCCATCAAAACCGATAGTCACCACTGAACCGAAGGGTAATGAAACTTCGCGTTCTAGTGTGAAGGACAAAGACAAGAAGATTATAGGTGATAGTGATGAGGAAGAAATTGAAGAAGATGCTCTGAAATGAAAAAAATGTGATCGGGAGATTGACGAAAATCTTCGCTTTGCAAAAGAGCAAGAAGAGTGGGAAAGAAAGCAAAAGGAAGTTCATGACATAATGGAATGTAGAAAAACTCTATTTCCTTTGTGGTCATTGGAGAAATTACTGGAAGAAGTAATTGATTCCCCCAGCACTCATTGGCTTGAAACGGTCATCTCTTTTGACCGTGACAATTCAAGGGGATCACAATTTGACATGCCCATTACCAGAAAGGCTTTTGTATTTCATTCCTTCGATCCAATAGTTGTTTTTCCCTCTCCTGACCTGAAGGTTGATGGAGAACTATTTGATTACTATCCCGCATACTCTCAACCTCAATACCTGATGTGGAGCGCACAGAAAATCACATCAGTCAAGGTTTTGAAAACAACTCCGACAGGAAACTTTATAAACGTGAAGTTTAAGATGACCGAGGCTCTGACAGCTCGGTTCATATGATCTCTCTTGACGATCTACCAAACTTAAACCCACATGATTGGATCCTCTTGAACAACTTTTTGCTACTTGATCAACAACAGTATGAACCAACCATAGATCACATCAAACGAATGTTGGTGTGTTATATTCATGAGATTTCCAATATGGACCAAGAAATCACCTTTTCCTTAAGGAAGAAGCCCACGATCAAACCTATTGGGAAGGCAAGTGACATCAACAAGATGCGACTGGGAAAGATTGACTCGAAACTCACATTCATGTTCACAAGAGCCGAAGGCCAAAAATGCTTGTTTGCTCTTGATAACAAACACCTATTCTCCACCACCTATCTAGAGTACATTCTAGATATCATTCACAAGTGTGGTCAAAACAGTGAAGCTGATAAGAAAATGTTTACGGATATGCTTCGGTGGTATATTCTCTTCAGAAAAACTCTTCTTGCCATCATACCGAAGGTATTCTAGACTATGAAGAAGTCTACTTTGACTCAACCGAAATGATCTCTCGCCTCAATTGACACAAAAGGGGAGATTGTTGAGTGTGGGTGTTGTGTCATTGGGCTCCTTTGCTAGGTCCATAAATGTCACGGTTTGGGCCTGTCCAACCGTGTTTTTTTTGTAATTAGGTTTAGTGTATAAGATGCATGCCTGCATCTTTGTTTAGTACACTTCTTGCTTTTTTCTTTTGATAATACTGTAACCCTAGCACACCTCGACATTAGAAGTTCTTCATCGATCACTTATGAGGTGATGCTGTTTTAATCATTAAGCACATCTTTGATTCATTGTGTGTTCGTATTGTTGCTTACTTTTGATTTACTTGTCAAGGATCTAAATAATCTAAAAAGTCTTTTTCAAACTTAACAGTTTAAATAAGTGCTCCACATAAAATACTAAAAGATTCATTTGATTTAATTTGGAAAGATTTTGATAAAGAAAATGTTTATAATAGATGCCAGTTTTAGTGATGGATCAAACCATATCTTCCCACAAAACACTCAAATACCACATGAAAACAAAGTTTAGTATCGATCTGTAAAAGATCCTAAGCAATACCTTCGAATTCGGAATAAAAACCTCAATTCGATCAAAGAACTTACCAACAAAATCACTATATCTCCTCAAGCATAAATTACTGACGACATAGAACGATGGTTGCTAACATACATGGGTGGAACAGTGGCGGGGAAGTCATCCCTTGTAATATCAGAAAAGAGAGAGACAACCGGAGTGGTGAGGGTTTCGGTGACATTGTCTTCCTCATTCTCCGGCGACAGCGGCGAGGCATTCCAGCCAGACGGATCTTTAATCAAGATGTGGAGGCAAGGAGGACCGATATTGGATGTTGAATCGATGATGGCGATGGCAGAGGAGGGAGAAGGAGAAGGAGAGGTGACGTGAACGATGAGGAAGAGTGTGACAAAAAGTAGGATTAACCTAGAAAACTTCAGAAAAGAGGGAGTTATTTGATTTTTTTTTCGTTTGGTTGGTATTCCGTAGGAGATTTCCTACAAATTTCTTACCACAACTTAAATTTTTTTTTTATTTATCTCATTTTTCCATGTAAATTAAATCATATTCAGAAAATAAATTATAACAATATCGATTAACTTATTTCCTTATCATTTTATGTATTCTAGTTTATGTATTCCAACTATAATATTATTATTAATCTAATTTTAAATTATTATTATTATTATTATTATTATTATTATTATTATTATTATTATTATTATTATTATTATTACTACTACTACTACTAAAATGATTTGCATTTAAGTAAATAAAAAATAGAAAAATTTGTATATGCATTTATATTATGTATCATTTAGTCAAAACCAAGAAATCAAAGTATAATGATGTTATGAAAAAAATAAAATAAGAAAAATGACAATTGACCATCGGAAAATAGAAAATACAAAATTATCGTAGGTAATCTGTAGGTAAATACCTACGCATTACCTACGGATAAGCTTAAATACATACGCATTACCTACGGTTAAAACTTATATGTAGGTAATACGTAGGTATTTAGCTACAGATTACCTATGGTAGTTTTTGTATTTTTGTTATTTTCCAAGGGTTAAATGTCATTTTTTCATTTCATATTTTTTGCAACATTATTATATTTTGATTACTTAGTTTTCACCAAGTGACATATAATATAAATGTATGTACAACTGTGTGCACCAATAGAACCCATTATTATACAATAATACAAAAACAATATATGTTTGTTCTTGAACCACAATTAACCATCATTTATGATATACATGATATGCTAAATATAATACATAAATATGGGAGTGTATGTATGTGTGTGACTGTATATTGTTTTCTATTGAAAATAACATGCATTTATACAAATAAAAAGTATAAAACTTTGAATAAGTAATGGGTTCTAATGATGTACATGGTTGTATGTACGTGTATATTATGTACAACTAAGTCAAAACCAAGTAATCGAAGTATAATAATGTTGTGAAAAATACGAAACGAAAAAAAAGAACATTTGACCATTGAATAATAGAAAATACCAAATCTATCATAGGTCATCTGTAAATAAATAGCTACGAATTACCTATGGATAAAGTTTATTTGTAGGCAATCCGTAAGTATTTACTTACAAATTACCTATGATAGTTTTTGTATTTTTCTAATTTTCAAGGGTTAAATGTCATCTTTTCATTTCATATTTTTCACAACATCATTATACTTTGATTACTTAGTTTTACCAAGTTATACATAATATAAACATATGTACAACCGTGTGCACCATTAAAACGATTATTATAGAAGATACATAATACAAAAACTATATATGCTTGGTCTTTAAAAACAATTAATCATCCTTTAAAATATAAACTAGATGAGGAACCCCGCTTTGCGGCGATGGATTTAGATAGCTTCGATCATTTTCGTCACTTAGTGCTTGATATCGATAGGAAGGATTACATAAGAAATTTGAAATTATGGTGCTATAATAGACAAATAGATCAAAACACATTGTTATTTCTTGCAGTTAACACTTTATTAAAAGACAAAACAAAAAAATATGGGTGTTAACACTATTTAAGTAGCAACAATTAGAAATGAATTACAATAGTGCCTTGAGTAAACTTGGGTTGCTTAGCCCTCACGGCTATAACTGCCATCATATCAAATTCCAAAGGCTGTTAGATCAGCAAACATGTCTCATTCTCGGATCTATGTGAAGTAACAATTTAAAAAGAATCATGGAATGATGTAAATGAGTTGATACTAATGGTTTAAATAAATAATGTGGAATAAATCATTGGAAAACATGAGATTTAGAACCTTTATGAGTACATCTGAATCTGGAGAAGAGCTATACAACCTGAAAAATATCAAAGATTATAGGTGGAAAAGTAGCCCTGTTTATAGGAAAATAGATTGATTTAGATTATATTTTGAAGGCTAACTATAGATGCTTACTCAGGATCCTAGTTTTCTCTTGAAGTGCATCAACTTCTTTGTATAACTTCAATAGAGAATCAAAGTCACTTCTTTCAAGAGTTCTTGAAGTTCTCATAATAGAAATGTAAGTAGCCTGAAGAAATTAAAAGCTTCAACAAATTACTACTTGTAAATAGAATAATGAGACTTATCTGATATCTGTTAGTTTATGTTTACCTTTCTAATATCAACATGAAACTCTAGCATTTAGTCGAAAAAATAGCCACCTTAAAGAATTGATATCATCACTTAATTAGCTTTTACCTCATCTAGTTTCTTTTTCAATAAAAACATAAAACTAAAATAGTATTCTACGAAAATGTAGCCCTTGTTCTTTTATCTGCAAGTTTTGTTTATCTGTTTCAGCTTGACAATTTCATGGGTTGTACAACTTTTTATTTAGAATGTTTACTTTTAATTATTGTTATAAACACATAACTAAAAACTATTCTCTTTTTTTTTCACATACCAACAACTGTTTTAAAAGAAAGATAAGTTTGATTTAATGTAACTTTTATAATTAAAAATGATTTATAATATTATTTGAGATTTAGTCTTCATATGGTATGTGGGAGATGTCGGGCCAATAAGAGCCTCTTCAACTCTTTTTTTCTTTCGTTTCCAACCGTATAAAATATATGAGATTTAGTCTTCCCCAAATTGGTATGTAATTGGAACCCTTTTCTTGTTTTTGTTCTCCAGGTACACTGAGGACAGAATCTATAGGAGCCACCGTAACTGCTGCAAGCCCAGTCCCAGTTCATCCTTGTATGTGGTCGGTTTTAATCCAAATAAAAAAAACAACATAACCAAACTTGTTATCATGATGAATTAAACCCATCGATATATACTTACCATAACCTGGAGGTTACCTTGAAACCTGTTGCAATGATTACCACTACTTCTATCGCCAGAATTAGCCCCTTCTCCTTTAGAGACAGTGCAGGTCTGTTATGGCCTTTATAGAGCTCCTTATCCATTTATTCTAATAATTAACTTCTCAATTCCCCAAAATATCTTGCAAAAATGAAATACACAACCCCATAAGAAAAGTTAGGAGTGACAAATTAAATTTATTCTTAACAATTGAGTGAGAATCGTACACAACATGAAGAAAAATAGAAATTCACAAACATTTACCTTTCTTGAATGGAACCTGATATGAAAAAAATGAATCTAGAAGCCGATCACCCCAATCGGACCAAATATGAATCTGATCCCCTCAATTGGACCAAACATTACAAATTTTCCAAAAATGATAGGATTGAATGTAGTGAAAAGGCAGAGAAGTTAATTAGATTGAGTCGTAGTAGAAAGGAGTTCGAAGAAAGAGTACTTCCAATTAAAACTTAGTACATGAAATTAGGGCACGGTCGTTTGTCGTCATGTCTTTCCAATTTCGGAATTCCGGTGATGCATGTGTATCAAACGCAAGCAATTGATGTAATCAGACGGGAATTCACTGTTTGTCGAGTGCGACGTTGCAATCGGAATAGAAATGTAAAATCAAAAAATACATGTGTCCTAGCTGAGTTGTTGCACCGGAGATTCCACACCGATGGAGATATACATGTCTAAAACCCTAATTTTTCGATTGAAACGACCAAATCAGAATAAGACACAGTGAAAAAAACATCGATACAATCCTCTTACCTCATCAGAAGCCGGTGGCTATTCCCACCTTGTAGGGATGTCGTCATGACCAGCATCACCAGCAACACAACTACTGATGCGTTCATCCCCTTTCCTGTTTCCATATCCTACTGGAAGAATAGAAGAGAGTTGTCAGTTCGAGAGAGTTATCGACTGGATACGCGATCAACAGATGCAGATTCGAGGTTGGAGGTGGGAGATGGAGAAATTGGTCGGAGAACGAATGAAGCGGTCACTTATGTGGGGCAGCAAATGGGAGTAAAGCTTATGAAGTAGAACAGAAGCGGTGGGAAGTAAAGAAAAAGTTTACAACAAAAAGCAGAAAGGATGAAGGCGGTGGAACCATTTGTGGAAGAATTCCATTTGACAAAAAAGAGGTGGAGCAAGAGAGAAACATGTAGGTTGTAAAAGGATCAGTGATTGAATAAAATTGCATAAAATAATCCCTAAAAATGACACACAATTGCAACCCATCCATAATTAAGAGACCATTTGTACCAAAAGACCAGCATATTCACTATTCCTAAGAACGATCCTTCTTTAATATCTATATAAGAATAATATACTAAATATAATACATACATATAGGAGTGTATGTATGTGTATGCGTATATATTCTTTTTGTACTGAAATAACATGCATTTATACAACTAAAAAGAATAAAAATTTAAATGAATGATGCGTTCTAATAGTGTAGATAATTGGTCACAACCAAGTAATCTATGTATAATGATGTTTTGAAAAAAAATGAAACGAAAAAAATAACATTTGATCATCGAAAATAGAAAATATAAAAACTATTGTAGGTAATCTGTAGATAAATATAAGTAATTACCTACAAATTACCTATGGATAAACGTTATTTGTAGGTAATCCGTAGGTATCTACCTACATATTACCTACGAAGATTTTCATTTTTTCTATTTTTTTGATGGTCAAATATCGTTTTTTTCGCTTCACATTTTTCACAACAATATTATATGTTGATTATTTTGTTATCAACATATAAACATACATACAATTCTATTGATCATCGAAATTCATAAATCGTTTTAAGTACATAATAATAATAATAATAATAATAATAATAATAATAATAATAATAAAACATAATAATTTTAACAGTAAAAATAAAACAATAATTATAAATGTAACAACAAATATAAATTATAGTTATAAATATAATAATAATAGAATTAAAATGAAACATGTTAATAGTAACCTATAGAATAAGTTGGGAAATAAAAATGTTTACTACGGATTATCTACATAATTTAAAAATATCCCTCATTTTTTTATTCTGTAGGTATTCTGTAGTAAATTACTTACAGAGTACCTACAAAATTTGAAATAAATCCGTTTTCCTCACTTATGTAGGTATTTTGTAGCAAATTACCTACAGAATAACTACAAAATTATTTTCTGTAGCTATTCGGTAGGAAATTTGTCACTTAATTAGGGCAACTTTATTTTGTAGCCAGCTTGTGGCTATGTCGTAGGTGTTTTCCTACGGAAAAAATTTGTAGGTATTTTTTTTATAGCAAATTGCTCCCTTTTCTAGTAGTATTATTTCTAATTAATATATTAACAAAACATTTGTTACAATCAATAAATCAACATCTCTCCATATGTCATTATGTTTAGTTACTAGTTATGAGAACAACCTAAAAATGATTTTGTTGTTAATTAAGTATACATTTCTATTTATTTATGATGTTAGACACGTTAATCTAACATTTTCATTTTAATAATGTTTTGTCGCTACTCTTTGCTAATTTGAAGATATGTAATGATACCTGTGACGATGTAAGATAATTTGGAATTACGTAATCATGATGCTTATGTTTTTATATACTGTTCATGTATGCTTTGACTGTGATATTGATTGACGTCACGACTCCCGACATTTCCGTCGTCGGCTGGGGTGTGACATTATTATGCTAGCAAGGGTTCGTAAACATAAAAAAAAAAAGTAGTAGGGGAAAAGTCTCGCAGGTTATTGTTTAGAGCATTAGTGACGACATCAAGTTGTCCTATTGCAAAAAAGATAACATAAGCAAAACGTTAGATTGTCTAAAAGATTTATGGCTTGCGCAAATTATTAGCGACAAAAAAGATATTAGCAGCGATACCAAACATGTACATTTTCTAAAGTAAATATATATGATAAACTTTACAACAAGACTAAAATTTAGGACCATACATAATGAAACATTTTCGACAAAAAACAAAACGTTTCATACCACATCAATGAATCTTGTAATTTATTCAAAACTTTTCATACCACAATGAATCTTGTAATTTATTTTATTAATAGTTATTTAAAATACCACATGTAGCTCAAAAGCTAAAAATATATATATATATATATATATTTGGAAAAACTACATACGTTCACATGAACCAAAATTGTAATAAACATTTTAACAAAACTAAAATTTAGGACCGCACATAATAGAACATTTTGGACAAAAACCAAAATTCTTCATACAACATCAACGAATCTTGTAATTTACTCTATTAACGATTAGTAATAATATCATATAAATATAAATGTTATTTGATATGTTTTTTACTGGATCTAATAAGAGATTGTGTTTGGTTTGGTTGAGACTGTTTGATACCATAATAAGAAACATCTAATTCAGTCTTGGTTCCTCTATGTGCCTCTTACCGGCTAGATTCATGGTTATGTTTGACCCATTAGATCTTGATTTAATCAATAAATATCAAACAACCCTAATTTGTAATATAGTCATTTTACTTGGGAACTATTTAAGCTAAAATTAGCCATTTAGGAACTATATAAGTTAAAAACACTATCAAAAAAATAACGAAAATTATACTTTTCTAAATGCTGATCAAGAGATTTGTATCCTTTCTTCTACAAATTGTAACACCGAAAATTTTCAAAACAAATTTTTTCAATTTTTATAAAACATAATTCCATTGATATTCATAAAACAACCATTTTAATTATCCAAACAAGACAATACAAAATCCCAAGATCATGATATCAAGCTCCGAATGTGTGTGTGTACGGATCAAGCCGGCGCCTTCCCGCGGTCGTCACTAGTACATGAAACAATAACATCAACACTGTAAGCACAAGGCTTAGTGAGTTCCCCAAAATACTACATATAACACATATTAGCCACTCGAGGCTATAACTCTGTGGGTCCGTGCACCCAAACTGTGTGAACCCTCAGGTTCTAACTATGTGAACCTTCGGTTCTAACTCTGTAAACATGCACAGCATGAATCACATAGAAGTAATGCAGTACAACACATAACATACATAGCATACAAATACTCTATCACATAACTCTGATTACCTACTCAAGGTAAAGTATAGTGAGAAGACTCACCTCGCGTGTCTCGGTAAATCGTAAACCTGAAATCGCTAATCACTCGACCTGTCGAGCTGTCGTCCCCCTATAGCACAATACACCTCTAATTAACACTTTCCCAACTAGGGTTGACCACACTAAACAAGTCAATCTAGGTCAACGGTCAACGGTCAACTTTGACCGGACTCGGCGAGTACCCAGGCGACTCGGCGAGTCTGGGCGTATACACCAATTTCCCTGGAATCCTCCCTTGACACGTCGAGCATTCCCTCAACTCGACGAGTTCCACCTGGCACGAGTTGTGGGGCCACCACGACTCAACTCGCCGAGTCTCAAGAACAACTCGGCGAGTCCAGTTAGACTCAGTCCACCTGTCCATTCTGACTCCCCCTTGACTCACTGAGTCACCTTTCCCAACTCGGCGAGGCCACTCACAGAGTGGTCGGGCAACATTCATGCTACTCGCCGAGTCTGTTCTTCGGACTCGGCGAGTCCATGCCATGCACTGACTCAATCTTGCTCTAAAGGTCAGATCCAGTTCATTAATCCATAGATCCAGTCCCTCCAAGCTCATTTAGCACGTAAAGTTACAATCTTGATGCACATACAACCTCTATATGACCATATATGATGTTTATGACTCAAATACTACAACACAAGGTCAAAGACTCTATTGTCACTCATAAAGCTTGATGAGTGAGGCTCTCTGGACCTCTATGGATCCAGATCCATGGCCTCAACTCAAAGAGGGAACCAATGGGCATCAAATCATCCCATAAATGACCATCACAAGCCCTAAATTGCATCATGCTTCACTAAACAGAAAATGGTCCGAGATAATACCTCTAGAGTGATGATCTAAGCTCCAAATCCACGAAATAGCAACCTCCTTTGCTTCCTCTTGCCTAGGGTCTCCTTCTTCTTGCTAAATAACACACACAAGATCAAGAATGGCTCCTTTCTCTTCACAAATAGCT